TTTATTGGTCAGAAGGTTTCGTCATAGGTTTCGTCAGGTTTCGCCATTCGTCACAGGTTTCGTCATTCGCCACAGACGAACATATTATAACTATCATACAATATGCTAGAATGTGAGAAATTGCGTGAACTAGAATTCAATCAAGTTTTTAAATTAGACCCTGAAAATTTGGCAGAGGTGAAAACACTTTTTGATATTACAATTAATTTACCGAAAGATAAAGATTTTGATAGTTGTATAATTAATCAAATCAAATCAATGCACTTTATCAAACTGAATATTTTCTTTATCAATTCTAAAGAAAACAAAATAAGAACAGCTCACATTAAAGCAACAAAAAACAATGTCTGAATAATTTTTCGTCCCACTCTTTAATCGTAAGGTAAAAGGAGGTATTTTGACGAAAAAGGATTATGATGGAGTAACAATATCTCGATAACTAGTGGTCTGAATCTCGTGTAAATACAACCTTTCGATTCACCATGTCTAGGCGAATCGAATGGTGGTATCTTCATGAGATTCGGATACCTAGTTATCGAGATATCGCACTGAAAGTCATAATATGTCAGATTTTCGTCAATTTAAAGGGCAATATCTCAATACCCTGTCATCGGAATCATATGAAAATACCACCATTTTATTCGTCATGTCTAGGCGAATCGAATGGTGGTATTTTCATATGATTTCGATGGCACGGTATCGAGATATCGTCCTTGAAAATCACCGTTTGCCTAAATTTAATATAAATGGCAGAAGGTAAAGATCTAACATACGGTGATTTATCTCGATACTCGGCGTTCGGAATCACATGAATATACTACCATTCGATTCGTTTAGACATGACGAATCAAATGGTGGTATTTTCATGCGATTCCAATTGCTAACGCTAATTATCGAGGTATTGCATATTTTCTTTACTTCGTCAAAATACCTTCACCCTCACAAAATTAGCATTTTGAATGTTACACATAAATGATCATTTTTTCCTTTTATTACTTGTCACGTCATTGTAATTTTAGCTGGAATTATCCAGAATTGAGTTGACTTTTTAGCCATAATACATATACTAATATTTGTACTATCTGTAAAAGTTTTCCTAATCACGATTTTAACTTCGTCAAAATACCCCTTTTCCCTTATGTTTTCTCAACATTAATAATCCCCTCGAATAAAAAACGTACATTCTAAATAATATAAAGAACCAACACTCGGGATTTCTCACAATTCTTAATTTCCCCACAATATGATCCGACTGAAGAGAACGAGCACAAGGGGACATGAGAAAGACCCGGATTTAGTAGACATTACTTCAACTTTAATTTTATTCAGAATCTTAATTCTAACTTTAACTCGGATCCTAATTAGCCAATTAAAATGTGGTTTTTACAAATAACAGTTGTTACAAATATATTTATTACTTGAAAGCCGAAGACCATATTATTTTGTATGTTCAAAAGCTTTTTCTTGAAATTGGCCTTTTTAAATTGCTTCTAGTCAATAAGTAAATATGTGCAATATATATTTTTTTAATATATCTACTTATTATTCAAAGTAAATTAAAAAGACCAATTTGAGATATAATAACTTCATTGCAATAGCTCCATTTAGCAAAATATCCTCTGTTACCTTATATGTTCTTAAGATAATTTTATCAATTTTTATATAGTTTTACAACTTTTTTGAATTATACATATTTTATTATTATATATAAATTATTATGCATATTTTCTTAATTATAGTTAAATTTATCAAGAAATCTTAAAATTATGATTATTTAATAAACTCGTGATTTATATATATTAAAGAATTTGAAATATAAATATTTTTCAAATACATTGTGCACAAATTTCTCATACAGTAGGAACAGCATAAATCGCCCAATCGGTTAGATTTTTAAAGGGTTATAACTCGTGTTCTATATGTGAAATAAAAAATCCTCTTTAGCCTAATTGTAACCATTTGACCTAGCTAAAATTTGGCTAAAGATGATTTTTTGTTTTACATATAGAACACGAGCTGATGATTTACGTTGTCTCCCACTGTATTAATAATTACTAAACAGAAACAAATTAAAAGATACACCGATACGTACTGTACATGTAGTACATCAAATTACGTATACATGTATTTTGTAATTACAAGTACATGTCTAACAAAAAAAATCTAATTTTTTATGATACAAATTTTCTAATTAAGAAGTTAGGTGACGGCAATAAGTAAAAAGATAAATATATGTAATCAGTGTTGTCACTTGGACATAAATCCAGCAATTTGATTGGTTGGGACACTTGTCCCAACCAATCAAATTGCTGGATTTATGTCCAAGTGACAACACTGTATGTAATAATATTTAAGAAATAATTTTCATTTTATAATACTGCAATTAATTGAGATGCCATTTTATTATTCAATGAGCATATAATATAATCATTGCTGCCATTGGGATCACGGGCACAAATGAATATTTACAAGTTTCGGAACTTCGTTTGTGAATTTTGAACGTGAAACTGACCAAAATATCAAGTTTTAATACGATAGATGGTAATAATAAAAAATATTCTTCAGGTTCTAGTCTAGTTAATCTCAAAATTTCAGCAAATATGGTTCATTAGTTCACGAGATATTGCGCAAAATGTAATTTTTTTGAATTGAAGCATGCAAGGACACTAAATCTTAGACAATTATAAAATATAATAATTTTTATGCATTTTATAAAAAATATTATATCTTATATACATATATTGCAAATTAATTATTTATCTTGCACATTGTTAAAACCTGACAATGTGGTCAATTTTACGTTGTGACAGAATTCTAAGCGATATCAATAGTTTCATTACGTATTACACAAAAGGTCGTTATACATGTATAATCTTTTTATAGCGATGATCGTCTATGATTATTTTGGAATCTTGTCTTGGCATTTCAGAAATGAATACGTACGTAATAGGAAACAATCAATTGAGTTACTTCATAAAAATATAAAAATAGAATATGTACATCCATGGTGAAATTTTCATTAAACCTACAACTTGTACTCCAAATAAACCACGTAGAAATTCCTTGCTGTAACCTATCGCTATGCAAATCACAATGGCTTCGAATTTTGGTATGATGCATAACGATTACATTTAAACTTATCGTTATCAATAGATTGCATTTTATAAATCCAATAGTTTGACTAAGAAGTAAATTTAATCCGTGAATATGACCAAGAAAGGTCTATTCTATCATATTCATGGATTAAATTCTTAGTCAAAAAGTCTATTGGATTTATAAAATACAATCTATTGATGTCAGGCACCATACGTAATAAAATTCATGAAGGGATTCGAATTCAATGTTATTTTCTCAAAAAGTGATACGTTATGATCCTACAAAAGTTCCAAAGAATGGTATGGCAAACATTAATGACTTAATAGTACGAGTGTGTTCAACTTGATGTTGCATATAAATAAAAACAACAATTCATAAAAAATTTGAACAATTCAAGCACTAACGTATCACGATCGAAGTCGAGCGTGGAAAAGATGACGCAAAAGTTTTTTTTTAAAATTCAATTTATCTAAAAATAGTTGCATTAAAAATTTTTATTTTTAAATTTCGTTCTGAAAAACAGTTATGAGCCTTCACCGCATTCGACGTTTAAATACAAATCTAAATTTAATCTTTTCTTTACTATGAGATTCTTCAAAGAATTCTACGTTGCTTTTTTTTGGAAAAAAATGAGATGATTCATACAAAATCTTAAAGGGCAAAATTTATGTTTCGCAACGACTGCAGCCATTCTTAATTAGAAACCTTTTTTTATAAATACACGTACTTTATTCAATTCTTTCTTCACAACCACACAAAAAACTTTTTACATTGTCCTTACAAATCCAATTCTTTCTTCACAACTACAAAAAACTTTTTAATTTGTCTTTATAAATTACTGAAAAATGGCAAAAATCAACTTTTTGGTCGTATTTGCGCTTGTTTATGTTATGACATTCTCCAATGTGTATTCGTTTCCTTGGCGTCGTGCCTGCACATACATCGATAACATCGGATGCGATAACACCGGTCATGGAAACATTGGCAATTCTAATGCCGGTGATAATAATATCGGCAGTGAAAACGGCTTAGGGAGTACAGGTACCAATGTTGGTAGCAATAATATCGGCAACGCAAATGGAAAGAATAGCGGTGGAGTGGATAATGGAAATGGTAATATTGGCAATGGTAATGGCCTAAATAGTGGCAATAGCGGTCCAAAAGATTGTGCTGCATCAGGTTACCCTAATGGCTCTGGTGTAGGCGAGCATAATGGAAATTTGAATATTGGTAAGCTAAATTTTAGTTTATATTTGCTTTATGGTTGTTTTTTGCTCGTAAATTCAAAATTCATTCATTATTAGGTAACAATAACGGTGCGAATTCTGGAAATGACAACTGTGTTTATAATCTAAACACTGGCAGCGACAATGGAAACCGTAATATCGGCAATGGTAACGGAGAAGGAACCGGTAATGACAACTATCTTACTCTAGAATCTGGTTCCCACAACGGCGACGGGAACATTGGCAGTGGAAACGGCCAAGGCAGTGGCAACAACAACTCTTTCATGCTTCATGACGGCACCAATGTAGGCAATAATAATGTTGGAAATCAGAATGGTCAAAATACCGGAAATAATAACTACCTCAAGGGAAACAATGGTGTAAGCGTTGGCAATAACAATGTCGGATCCAACAGCGGATCAAACTTAGGCAATAATAACACGAAGTAGTATGTATCTAATCTTGGTAATGGATACAATGGATGGATATAATTAAAGTTACACATAAGATATTTGTTACGTATTTAGGGTTAGAATTATCGTTACCGTTATGTTATTTAGAAGCTCGAATTATTTGAGCCATGACATAATGTTTATCTTTCATCGCATTAGTAAAATAATGCCAACTATTATCATTATGATTAGTAATAAAGCCTTTATGCTTCTTTATTTGACAATATCGATATACTGTATGCATGTAAATGTTTTATAACATGCATGTTTCGCTTAATGAATGCATCGTATTTCTCTTGTTGAAAGCAATTATGTTGCTAAAAGTGAGACTTCGATCTTAAGATTCGCGATTTATGAAATTGTAAACAGTATCGAGCCATATTAACGTTACGTCATGTAAAAAAAGTTGCAGTCAACCTGTTAAACAGAAAATTTCCAAATTTATCGAGGTTTGTTTAGTAAATTTAGCTTATCGAGGCAGGTTCATTATAACTATTCCTGAACCAAATTCGAGTTATTAAAACAATTCCTGAAACAAAATTCGGGTTTAACTAGTGTTTCGATTTAACGTGGTGTTGACTGAGTGCTTACCTTTAATCTCTTTAATCAAATTAGATTTTAAAAACGCGTGAAAAAAAGTTGTAGCAAATTTTCTAAAAATCAATATAAACATTTCTATACAACAGTGATGTGTTGATTAACCGAACAACTAGCAATATTTTAGTAAGAGTATAAATAGCATAAAATATTATTATATTTGATCCAAGTAAAAAGTGAACTCGTAAAAAGCTAAAATTCATATAATTTTAATAATTGCCATCACTAGTCAGCTACCAAAATAAAGTGTTTGTGCTTGTTAATATTTTTCTCTTATTGCTATCCGAAGTTTTTGAATCTGTTCCCAAAGTAAAAGATTGTGCATTGTTGATAACTGACAAAGTTGTAAACGTAAACCGCGTGGAATCTCTATTTTGTGGTGGGTGCAATAGGGATATGACTGGTTTTTATATGAGTTGATTTGATTCCACAATCCAGTCTAAAATTACAAAAATCTAAATCGGTATGAAGTCAAATCGGCTCATATCGATATGTGAAAATTTGGAGGCGTGGATAGTTTTCCGATCGGTAAAAGAGATGTTCTGGTAAAGTATGAATTATGGTTGGTTTTTGAAGGTTTAACCAAACCACAATTTTAAGGCAATACCTTAGTGTTCGAGCACGCAAAGTCCAGACATCAACGGTAGATATTAACGCCAATATTAAGATTAATGTTAAGAATTATCTATCTACCGTTACCTTTTATTAATTACATATCGTTACCACGTACTTTTACAAATAAACGGTCATAATATAAATAGAGAACTGTATCTCTGTCCATAAAATCTTTATAGAACTCTAATTTATTGTTATCGTTATGTAACGTACAAATAATATCACATATTACGCCTATAACATGCATCTGCTTTAATCAAAGAGCCCTCATATTATTTATACATAACAAAAGAAGTTATAAAAGGCTTCTTTGTTATGCGTTCTGTCTCATTTTTCATCCATAGAAAGCAACGTTATCTTTTTAACACACACAAATGGAAGTCAAAATAATAACGATAAATACCTCTTCTTATCTACGAATATCTCATCGGTTAATGCATGTTGTGGGCGTATAAATCATCATTTTTTTTAAAAAAAATAAACCATTGCCATAATCACTAATAAAATAAACTCGATATGACATCTAAAATTTCGAACACTCATGATTGTATTAAATGTCAAAATTGTCAAAAATGGTATTACTGAAAATGATTTAAAAGAATTTGAGGTAAAATAAAGCAAAATTAATTAAACTTTGAAAAATTGGATAACTAATAATGAACTTTGAAAATGGATACAGGTTCTCATTGCTGACTGGTCAACTGAATTTAAGAGAATCTTCTCATTGCTATTCACTATGGAATGTAGTTTTCCTAAACTGCATAGTTGGTGCTATCACATGATTCTGACAATTCACAAATATGGAGCCTTGAATAGTCTCTTGACAGAAATATACGAAACACTTCACAAGTCATATGTGAAAAATCTAAATTTTGACGTCATTGCATTATTTCTGATTGCCACTGTATATAACAATAATAAATAAAATAATTAATTACTATAAAAGATCATAATAGCAACTAATACAAATGATTATTATAATAGGGATAGGAATCGATTCTCTAGATTTGATTAATTTAGAATTGATTCTGATGATTGATTAATTTTATAGAATTGAGAAAAACGATTCTCAGAATCAATTAAAATTTGAGAATCAATTAAAATTTTAATCGATTAAAATTTGAGAATTGATTAATATTTTTTAATCAATTAATCATGCATAAATGGTGTAACAGAATTATTAAAAAGAATAAACTAATGAGAAAATCTACTTGTAAAAACATGGCAAATTTTACAACTTGCTCTCGCGCACGACAACCTATTTTATCGTTTAGCAACAATATTAATAATATTCTAGCCTTTAATGATAACCAAGAAACTATTTCAAATACAGAGTTTAATGACTCTGATATAGAAATAGAAATCGATTCTCTAGAATCGATTAATTTAGAATCGATTTTGAGAATCGATGAATTTTATAGAATCGATTAAAATTTGAGAATCGATTCTCAAATTGAAAATCAATTAATCGATTAATTGAAGTTATCAATCGATTTTAGAATCGATTCCTATCCCTATATCGTAGTACATATATATACAGTATACATGTATTAAAAATCGCATAATATCACAAAAAAATCATCGTCCCTGCGCTCGATGGACAAGAGTTTGGAATCGGGAAATGATCAACAATGTAGATCATGACATTTTGGGATACTTTAAGATCTTTTCATCAATAAAAAATATAATTTATTCAGGAAAAGTAGGGATATATATATATATATATATATATATATATTAATACTGGGTTGAATATCCATTTGCCTCAATTACAGCTTGTACTCTTCTCGGCATACTTTCAACCAAATCTCTGATTCAATTGTTTCCCATTTCTCCGTAAGTGCATCCATCAATTCTTCTAGATTTCTGGGGTGAGTTGGACGTGCACGAATTCACCTTTCCAGAAAATCCCACAAACGCTCAATTGGATTTAGATCAGGGCTCTGGGCAGGTCAATTAAATTTTCCTCTTTTCATTCACTAGCTGGACGATATCTGTGAACTGAAGCATTATCATCTTGAAAAAGATGAACAGAACTAGCTGGCAAATCATTTAGAAATGGCAGAAGATTTTGTTCCATTATTTCTATATACTTTGGACCAGTCATTGTGCCATTAACTTCGATTAATGGTCCAAGTTCATTTTGAGTAAAACATCTCCATACCATTACTCCCTGATTACCCGATTTCATTAGGAAGAAGATAATCAACATCGTATTTTTCATGTGGTCGGCACCAAACCCATTGCCGGGAATCATTTTAGAATATTAGGTATCTTGATTAATCACGCCATTCACTAATCCAATCTTTTTTTTCTAAACACACTTTACTCGCTTTTGACGATTTTCCTCAGATAAAAAAGGTTTTCTCAACCCAACCGACCATAAAATATTCGTAAAGAGTACATCATACAGTTTTGGAACTAACAGAAACAATCATAGCAGTATTGAATTTTTCAGTAATTTCGTCAATTGCTTGTTGTCGATCTTCCTTAACAATATTAATCAATCTTCGAATAGCTCTATTATCTACTTTTTGTGGTTTACCGCTCCGGGCGGCAACTGTAGTTTGATCAAACTCTTTGCATTTATTATGAACCGTAGATTTGGGTCGTCTTAAAGTATCTCCAATTGCTTTTTCGGAAAAATCACACTTCCAAGCACCGATTATCTTGTCACGCTCTTTCAACAATCGATTTCTTCCTTTTTTTTTGATAATAACATCACCTTGTTTACATGTTGATTCGTTAGGTTAAAAAATGACGTTTACCTATACGCAGCTTAAATAAATTGAAATGGGAAGATTCTGGCATATATGGAAACCACAAATGTTTGAATGTGATCCCACAACGATACGTCGCTTTATTAACGAGCAGGAAAAAGTGAAAACTTACCACGTTCAGGAAGACCACCAGTCCTTAATAACCAAGAAAAGGATTTACTTATACGTGAAGTCAACGAAAAAAGATGTGCACCACTACGCGAAATAGTCAACAATTTAGGCCTCACTTGTAGTTTATCAACTGCCACAAATGTATTACACACAACTCCGGACTTAACTCATGTATCGCCGCAAAGAAACCCTATATCTCGGAAACACATGCACATGCTCGTATTAAATGGTGTGAAGAAACTAAAAATAAATCAGCTTATGATTGTGCGAAAATAAATTCTCTGATGAAACAATGTTTAAGTCACAGCAGCCAAGAGTTTGACGGCATCCTGGAGAAAAGCTTAATGTTAATTGCTTGGCGCCTACCTTTAAAAGTGGTCGAAAAAAACTTATTTATTACCATTCCAGAACGCAATTAACGAAATTACGTAATTTTTCAACATGACAATGCGTCGATTTCATACTGCGGGAAAAATTAAGGAATGGTTAACGGAAAATAAAAGAGCGATTATTAACTGGCCGGCTAATTATCCAGACCTGAACCCAATAGAGAACATTTGGAAGATATTAAAAGACAATATTTAAAAAAAACGAGATCTCTCCGAAGACTGTGGATGAACTTAAATTAAAGGTGGAGTGGGAAAAAATTGATGTGGCCATTTTAGAACGATAGCGTTCCAGCAAGTGGCGAAAATGCAGGTTACTGCGTCAATGCCACGAATAATTAATGTGGTATGGAGGGCCAATTAAATCTTAAATAAGTAATATTTATTTGATGATGTATAAATTGACAAAAATCAAACAAATGATCACAAGTTTTATTTTTAATCTTGCATCTGGCAATAAATTTAAAGGTGGCGGTTTTCCCCCTTTTTGTTATTGTTGACTGCAAAT